AGCACCTATTTGTGTCACAGCCTGGGTAAGTAAGAGCGCGCTTACATCCAAGCCCACACAAAGTCTTGTCTGGAACATGCCGACAATTAGATCACCACGGAACAATGGGACCTCCAAGAGTTAGGCTGTGTCACACTGCCCTTTCTGTCCAAGTGACCCTAGCAAAAGGAACCTGTGGATAAGTACATAAGCAAGTGGCCAAACTGGGCGATGCTTTCACAAAAGGGAAGGGAGCATTTCCCCAGTGCGGGGGACCATTCATTTACCCTCGTTCACTCACTGTCATAGCATTGGGTCTGAGAGGGCTGGCACAGACAGAAGAGACCTTTGTCCTGCCTTCAGGCAGCTTACAGTGAATCAGGCAGATTTTGTTCTGAGACTATTCCCCATCCCCATAAAAAGATAAAAATAAAAATAAAAAACCACCTAGCTATAATGGCTAGTAAACTTGTCATTCAGGCTTCGGGGTGTGGCTCAAGGATAGTTCTTCTCTAGCATGATGCCCTGGGTTCAATTCCCAGTGACACACACACACACACAAAAGAACTTAGAAAGCTCTGAACATAGACTTTTATTCTCTCTTTAGTCAAATTCAAAAGAGCCCACATTCCAAGATGACACCAGGAGCATTCAACTTTCAGAACCTCCACTGGACTCCTGGAAGATGTCACCGCGCTTGGAACCCTGCATGTGGATTATAAAATAAAGACTGGCTCAAATGAATCCACTTCTTCTCCTGGATCCATCTTGTGTTAAATCAAGTTTCGAAATTTTCAGTTTGAAAATTTCTAATAAAACAAGCTGTATGGAGCTACTTAGCGAAGCAGTTTAGAAGGCTATAGAAAGACCCTTTGGGTTCTTAAGAACTCACTGCCCTTGTCAAGCCTCCCCCAGCTTCCCTCCCCTGCCCCATGGTGGGCTGCAGAACACCATGGGTACCTCCTGGTGGTGCCTGCTCTTCTCATCTCACAGCCACAGTCTGGTGCGGCCATGTCCGTTCACTAGATTTTAAAGCCTCCCAGATTCAGACACAGAATCAGCAGGGAGCAGTCACCGTGGGTGAGAAAGGCATGTCTGACTGGGGAGAGACATGAAGGTGGAAATCAAAGTTGTCTGAGCTTCTGCCGCCAAGCCCAGAGGATCTGAGGATCAAGTTGATACAACCTCATTTGAGGAGTTAGGGTGGGGTTGGGGAGACCCCCAGCCCAAGTCGGTCCAAGGTCAAGGATTAGGAAGAAGGCGGGTTGTACGCTTTTCTAAATCTTCTGCCCTCAGGCTTGCTTCTCTGCCCAGCCTAGTCCACAGTTCTGTCACTCTCCCTGACCCCCATTAACTCCACCCGTGAGCATACGCTGCATGGGTTAAGCAACATTTCCACAGTCTACAGTGGGACAACAGAAGTTCAAAAGCTCCTAACGGAGGCCCAAAGACATATGGTTCAAAACAGGCTTGTGATAGATGTTCCCGGAGCCCTTGGCCATTTGTGTGGGTGCATGGGTTCATGGTACACTGCCAAGTCTGAGGGGCTGTCCCCAGGGTGTTAGAGTCACCACTAGTGACCACTGGAGCCAGAAGTGCTCAGAAGCTAAGTGGCAGGGGACAGCACTATCCTTGTTTAATGATTGACAGTGTGGTGATGTCAAAGACTACCACTCCCTGATACCCAGTCTGGGCAGCTCTGATGTGACTCACCTCTGTCCAGAGTGACCAAGCGAAGTGACCCTCAGAGGATTTCATCACTTGGCCTGACCCTTTCCCTCGCCTGCTTTGCTTCTTGGAAACCTTCCTAAACCTTGCCTCAGGGTCTTCCTCTCAGAATCCCAGCCTCAGGTGAAGTAGATGCTGGACCCAGCCACGAGCTTCTGGTTTCAAATGTCTTTTCCATCTTTGGGTGCTTGAGATGTTTTTGCAATCATACTGGCCTGCTCTTCATTAATTTTACAGTCATTTAAAAACTCAAATGACCATTATTGTTTCAGGATACTTTAGAGACAAACACATTCAAACATTCTTTTTTTTTTTTTTTTTTTTTTTGGTTTTTCGAGACAGGGTTTCCCTGTGTAGCTTTGCATCTTTCCTGGATCTCGCGCTGTAGACCAGGCTGGCCTCAAACTCACAGACATCCGCCTGGCTCTGCCTCCCGAGTGCTGGGATTAAAGGCGTGAGCCACCACCGCCCGGCCACATTCAAACATTCTACAAATGCTTAATGTAACAAGATTACTTCAGAGGCAAAGAAGCTTTGAACATCACAGTGAAATGCGGTGAAGTGAGGGACTCAAAGACAGAGAAGATTCTTTCAAAGTTGAGTTTGTAATTGTCTTACACTTAGGACCATAATTAAGTAGAAACTCAAGTGATCTATTCAGTGTCATTTCTCTATATAGAGTCCCTGCTTACCTTTTCCATTTTTAGTCCTAGGAATTGAAGCCAGAGCCTCAGCTTTTTGACTTTTTATTTTGAGATAAGGTTTTGTTAAACTTGTAATCCCCCTGCCTCAGTATCCCAAATAGTTGGGATTACAAGCCTGCACCAGCAGACCCAACCTCTTTTAAATTTTTGTTTGTTTACTTGAGACAGAGTCTTATGCAGCTGATCTCATATTTGCTACCTATCCAAGGATGACCTTGAACTCCCAGTGCTGGGACTTCAGGCATCCACCACCATGTCTTGATTCTCTTTTAAATATTTTTATGCCTTGAAAAGTACACATACTCCTAACATGCACACATAGTTAAAAATAAATCTTTTTAAAAAAATTTAATGAGTTCAGGTGCTGTCACAAACTCATTTTAACTTTGTCCATTTTGTTTTGAAGCTTTTAGTTTTGGTGAGTTTTGATTTTCGTTTGTTTATTTTGTTTGTTTGTTTGGTTGGTTGGTTGGTTGTTTTTGTTTTTGAGGGGGGAACTTGTTTGTTTGTTTTGTGTTTGTTCTGTCTGTGGCGCTGAAGTTTGAACTCTGGACCTTAGCACAAGCAAGACAAGTTCCTCTACCCCTGAACTCCAACCCCAGGCCCCAATTTTTCCGTTAGTGAAGATCTGAAACCTTCCCAGGAACACTACCAAACGTGTGCCTTCATTGTACAAATGACAGAAAATGACATTGTAGTGCCTCTCAAACATCTATAGTCCTGCTTGTTAAAGAGAAGCTCCAAAGAACTTCTCTCAGGGGTTAGTCACGGGGCTTGTGTTGCTTACTTGATTTAGGGGTTAACAAGACAAACAGGTAGGAGTAGATTGCTATTTTCTCATCTACCTTAGGTTTTTGCTGGAGTCACCCCCTCTCATAGGTAAACTACGGAAGTGTTAAACCTTGGATGGATCTCCCAGAGTGTCTGCACTTCCAGGAGCTCCTATGGCTGGCAGGATGCCATAACTGTTTTTGCTGAGGCTGGGGATAGCTCAGCGGGTAAAAAACTTATGTAAGCATGAGAACCTGAGTTCAAATCCCCAGCACCCACGAAAAAAGCTAGTCATAGTAGGAAATGCTGTCATCCCCTCACTAAGGAGCCAAAAACAAGAGGCTCTCTGGGCCTTGCTTGCAAGCCAGACTAGCCAACTGGTAAGATCCAGATTCAGTGAAAGACCTGTCTCAAAAGCTAAGACAGAGAGTAACTGATGAAGACACCCAAGATCAACCTCTGATCTTCAGAGAGACAGAGACAGGCAGACAGAGAGACAGAGACAGAAACATCTCCAGTGTACTGCAAGGTTCTGTATTCTTTCATGCAACTGGGAAACACAACAGCTACGTTTAACCTAATATGATTCCAGAATTCTTGGGTGGTTGCCCCTGTACAGACTCCACCCATGATTCGCTATGCCTCCTTCTTCCCAACCATCAGTCATCTGAAGACTCACGTGAACCCCAGGTCCCCAGATGCAGGTTCCCAGGTGATACCAGGCATCCACCCAGGTCAATAGTCCACTGATTGACAACACTGTTTACTTTTAAACATCTCCTGCACTCCCACACCCCGGCAAGAACCGAACTGTGCTCAAATGAAGAAAGAGTTTTGTGACTGGGTTTAAGGTAAAAGGTGAAAATAGAAAAAGAGATGAAAACTTTAGAGTCTGTTTCTCAGTGAATTGTCCAACCTGTGATTTTTCTCCCAACCACACCCAGGGTCCACAGCCAGAAGTGATGACCTCCCCATGCAGGGGTGACTACCTCCTCACAAGATTCCTCTGCCAATGGCCTTTCCTCTTCTTTCCAGGCCTTTCTGGGTTAGGATAACTTCGGGGGGAATTCTAATTACAGCCCTTTCCAAGCTCTGACTTCTCCACCAAACAAACCCGTTTTACAACTCAAAGGAATCTAATTTGGCCTCACACTTACGGTGGAATAACACACCGAACGAACGAGTGAGCCAGAAGCTGGCAGCCCAGCTAAGGAGCAGCTAGATGTGGGCACGCACTGCCAGCTCGGTCTAATTAAGAAGCACTGACACACGAACGACACTGGCAGAGAAAAAGTTCGAGCGGGACACGAGGTTCGCGGTTCGGGACGGCAGCGGTGCAAACGGCAAAGGCCCCGAGAGCAGCGGAGTCCCTGGACGCACAGCACTGTGCCGAAGCTGGCCCGGCCACCTTCTTTACATTTCTCGGGAGGTGACCAGACCTGGAGCCTAGACGAATATTCCGCTCCGAACAGAATCCCGCCTAAGCCTGGAGAAGTCTGTCCGGTGCTTCCTGGTACAATGGCACACGTGGAATGATGCCATCTTTACTCATTCATATTTGTGCCCAGGAAACTAACCAACTCCTTGGATAGACAGATGCCCCTGGCCAACTGTCACCCTCTGTTTCACCACCAGCTCCTTCCAAGACACTTCCAAATGACAGGACACCAAGAAAAACACCGTGAAAACCACTTGGGTGTGTGCTGTCTGGCATTCACGCTAAGTATGTTTGCATTCTGCCAAATCTGACAACACCCCACCGAGGCAGAGGGTCGGGTCCTGCTCCAAGTGACAATCACAGCAACGCTGACCACTCACCTGTCACCAGCACGGCCTTTTGATCCACCGGTAACAGTTCTTGATCCGATGAACATGTATACAGGAGGAAGCAGGACAGTGATAAGAGGAGTAAGCTGCAGAGGAGGGATAGGCCGAGCAGACAAGCACCTCCCCAGAGGCCAGCGAGGCACAGCACCTGCCTCCGCAGCTGCCCTGGGCTCTTGGATCTGCAGAGAAGCATGCCCCCCAGCGCTGCGGTGGCAGCCAAGCTGAGCCCTGCTGACTCAGAGAAAAACAGGCTCATTCTCCACTGGCCTTCACTTGCTCTGGGCCCAGTGAGTAGTGCGTGTACAAAAGCTAACTGGAGGCAGCCTGGCTTATATGAAGGGAGAGGCGAGAGGGGAGGGGGACGACAGCCCCCGCACCTTTGGAGTGAACATGTGAAATGTAACGATAAGGGAAAACTACTCCCAGGAGGTCATTTGAACTGTGTACTGTGATACAAATACCAGACCCACCCCACCTGCTCATTCCCCTGATGTCCTCAACACACACAAACACTTACATTTAAGGCTTTTATGACCTTCCCACCTGAGAGATGATTACTCAGGTAATGATTGACAGAAATAGAATTACAAGAGGATAATCTCCTGTGGATGTGCCCTCTCCGTGTTTATTGAGTCCTTTTGCTAACTCCGAGTGTCTCTGTGTGTCCGTGTCTGTCTGTCTGTCTGTCTGTCTGTCTCTCTCTCTCTCTCTCTCTCTCTCTCTGTGTGTGTGTGTGTGTGTGTGTGTGTGTGTGTGTGTGTGTGTGTGTGTGTGCTCATCCAGGTAATCAATGAAGCTTGGAAGGTGAAGTCTAAAAAGACAACATCCCCGATTTGGTCCATGTCTGGAGGATTATTGCTGACTGAGACAGGCTAAGGGCTCAATGAACCAAAAGGAAGAGACTCCTTAGTGGGAGATGGAAGGTGCCCGAGTCTTGCCAGAGGGAAGTTGTACCGGGGAGACACCATAACGATGACAGCAGAGCTGGGAGCAGTTGTCAGCACTTTCCTGAGACTGGTACTACACTCAGTACTGATTCATTCCACTCTGTCCAGAGTTCTGTTCTGGAGAGCAGGACTCAGTCTCCAAATACGTTGTCCTTGGGATGTTTCTGTTCATGTAGCAATAACAAAGGAGGCAATCCAACCGAGACTAGAGAGCTCAGGAAACAGCAGCCTAAATGCAGCGGCGGCGTCAAGCAGGCTGATCCCTGAGCGCTACCATTTGAACCAGCCGCTGTCTGCTTTAGGTCAAACAGAAAAGCAGCCCCATGTGGACTGGTTCCTCCCTCCTTTTGCTTGGCTTGCAACTTACACAATCCTTTGTCAGACTTAGTTTGTAAACAAGAAAATTCAGGCTGGGAGAGGCTGCGCGTGTCCAAGAGCAGGGACTCTGGATCCATACAACTGTGACTCACCAGCCCAAGAGCCATCCTGTAAAGACTGGAGTGATACCTCAGTCCTATGCATATGCATCCAGGTACAATACACCATGTGCACACACATCTACACACAAGTGCACACACACCATCACCACCACCAGCAGCAGTCACAATACTGATAGTCAAGGGGAGCGCCCACTGGGCTGGATAGCATCTGCCTAGGAGGGATGCAGGATTCTGATAAAGGGAAAATTGGAGAGAGATGAGCTCTTACTTTGAGTTCAGATGCTCATAGGTAAAGCCAGTTCCAGTGCCCACGGTTGTTAAGGATGAGGTAACGTTGACTGGGGAACTTCCGTTCCCTCCACTCTGCCTCTCCGGCTGTCAAATAACAGTGTGCCCCTCCTGGAACCCTAGACAGGACCCGAGAAAGGCTGCAGAATTGCATGTTTAAATAGAAAGAGAACGGAAGGCGAAAAGTATGGTAGAACACGGTGCCCCACAGAATAAGGACTTTGTCCTAGAATTAGTTCTAGAGCAAAGGTGTTGGGGGGGGCCTGGGGGGAGGGGGGAGGAGTGGTGGGAGGGGCCTGGCAGTGTGGCTGTAGAGGGAGGTAGGGTTTGCTCAGGACTGAACCCAGCGGCACAGCCTGTAAGAAGATGGGTGGGGCCTTAGATGGAGAGTCATCGATACCAGCTTCTGGCTCAGACGCACCTTAGGAGAGTTTCCCTGGGGTCGATGCAGCTGTAAAGGGAGGATGAAGTGGGACCCAAGCTAGTTCAAGACCCAACGGAGACAGGCTAAGAAGCAGGAATCTGGGAGCTACACTGTGCTGTGGGACCACGGTGGAAGTCAACAGAGCATATATGAGAGACCCGTGTGGGGTGGTGGCAAGTTATCTCCGCCACCCAGCCTCACGGACGCCTGAAGTAGAGAGCTACTGCCGGTCCTAGACCGGGAAGTGTAGGGTGGAGAGGCTGTGGAATTCTTGACTGGCCCCAACATTTCTTCTCTCCTTCCCCAGACCCCATCCCGTCCTGGTGTTGACTGTGCAGACAGACATTTGGTGGATGGGGGAACTTCTCACGGGACCAGGAGGGTTCCGTTCCCAACCAGTAGATAAATGGTTCCCCATGTGGGCATACAGGACTAGCTTTGGCTCTTTGCTCTCTATCGGGGCTGGACCAAACACGCTTGTGTGGTTTTCCCGACAAGCTCATGCTCACCTGAGACCCAGGCGACTCTTCTACAGGTAGCCCACATAGTTGGAGGAAAACTGCCTCTGTGAAACACAGAAATTCAAGTGTAGTTATTCCCCAACCTAAGAAGGAAAGGGCGCTGCACAATGGCCTAGCACTAACTATCTATGAGGCTTTGGACAAGTTGCCTTTCATTCTGGACTTTTTTTCCTCCTCAGTAAAGTGGGGGTGGGGGGTTGTCCTCCTCCATGGGGCTGTTTTGAAAAGCGAAGAATCTAATTCTCACACCATGCCGGACACTGGTGTACGGTCATAAAGAGAAGCCCATGTCATTCTGATGGCAGAATCCTTTCAGTTAGGACCTTCAGGGTCTTTGCCTATCTGAGAATCGCCCAACCTCTCAGCAAGGACTTCTCAGCTGTGACATCTTGTCTTCTAGTGTGTCGCCGTCATTTTGACCTGGAACTGCCCTCAAGGCCATCCTTGCATGGTTGGTGTCCTGTATCTGGCAAGCTCTTGCCCAGCTTCCCAAGGAGAAGGGACAGTTGTATCATTGAGTCATCCTTATGAACGATGCCCCTGGGTCAGCGTGCTGTGACCTCCTGAGGGTGGAGAAGCCTTTCAGGAGACACTTTCTGGAGGTGACAGTTTACTGTATTCGTTGTTTTTTTCATTGTTGTAACAAAATAACTGACCAGACTAAACGGAGGGAAGGAGAGATCTATTTGGCACAGAGTCTGGGGGTGCAGTCCATCATGGTGGGGTAGGCATGGCGGCAGGAGCGTGAGGCAGCGGGTCACATGGTATCCACAGTCAGGAAGCAGGGAGATGGATGTTGGTGCTCAGCTTGCCTTCTTTTTATTCAGTCCAGGACCAAGCCCAGGAATATACCATCCACATTCAGGTTGGACCTTCCCACCTCCATTTAACCTTTCTGAAAACACTTTCATAGACACACCCAGAGGGGTGTTCCCACCCAGAGGTGTGTTTCTACCCAGAGGTGTGTTTCTACCCAGAGGTGTGTTTCCACAGTTGTCAGGCTTGACAATGGAACTTAAGCATTACATTTACCAAAGAAGACGACTTCCCAAACTGGGCAACAGTAAAAATGCAAAGAATCTGCAAATGTACACTTGATTAGTATCCATGACTCTTGAGTGTAGATGGGATGTGCAGAGGTGACTTCCTTCTAGAGTGGGGATTCTCTCTGAAACATCCCCACCTAATGGCCATCTTTGTTACTGCCAGAACACATCCAAGAACAAGCATGTCATGGCACCTGAAGACACTGCCCCCATTTGGATGGCTCTGGACATGAACAGGGTTCTCTCTGGAACACTTGATTCCTCTCTCACTGGGAACCACATAAAGACATTTCCAGATGTCCAAGCAGATGACCCCTTCGCCCTCTCAAATGACCCTTTAGACAAGGTGGAAAATATTTAATCTGGTGTTGAATTCCTCAACAAGCCACGTACCCGGAGTTCCCATACCACTGAAATGATGGTGTTGCAGGCCCTGGGTAACATTTTAATATAGTGAATGGCACATGGTGATTCACTGAGCATAGAGTGATCGTGCATTAATGTGATCCTGACCACATGGTCAACATACTGACAGACCGGCACAGAGATTTGGGGGCAGTGTTGCTGAGAACACACATGCTTTTTGCACACCCAGGGAATGATGAATATTTTGTGTATTCAACTGTAATTGTACAAATATTATATCTTATGTAATTCTTTATTTCACACAGTGAGGAATAAAGCACCTAGAGTCGGCTGCTCCACCAGTAAATGCCTGCCTCACAAGCACAGAGACCTGAGTTCACATGCCCAGAACTCACCTAATGGCACGGTGGCACGTGTTCCCAGTACTGGGGAGGCAGAGACAGTTGAACCCCTGCAGCTTACGGGCCAGTCAGCCCAGACAAATCAATGAGCTCTACATTCAGTGAGAAACATTGTCGTAAAAATAATGTGAAGAGCAGCTGAAGAAGACCCTAGACATGAATCTGTAGCCTCCATACACATGTACACTTACATGATTATGCACCCATGCACAAGACACACAGAACACACACACACACACACACACACAGAGAGAGAGAGAGAGAGAGAGAGAGAGAGAGAGAGAGAGAGAGAGAGAGAGAGAAAGAGAGGAGAGAGGAGAGAGAAAAACACATATATACACACATACATTACACCCACCACTACCCACAAAAAAAACTAAATAAAATTCAGATGTTACAAGTATTTTCATATCATTTTTAACTTTTTGCTCTAAACTATAATATATGAAATTGTCCAAATATAATGTGAATAACCAATTATGTATCCACAGTGACTCTCTCTCCTTCTCCCCCACCTCTCTCTCTTTCTCAACAAGAGGAAGACAGAGACAAAATACTTTTGTAAAATCCAACTTAAGGGACTGAAGAAATGGCTCAGCATTTAAGAGCACTTGGTGCTCTTGTAGAGAATCCAGGTTCAATTCACAGCACCCATATCGGGCAGTTCACAACCACCTGTAACTCCAGCTCCAGGAACTCTAATGCCCTTTTCTGACCTCTGCAGGCATCCACACACAGATGTGCATGCACACACTCACACACACAAAACACACACACACACACACACACACACACACACACGAATAAATAAATAAAATCTTTA